ATGGTCTCTGAACATGAGGAGTGGACGCACGTGGTCTCTGAACATGAGGAGGGGACGCACGTGGTCTCTGAACATGAGGAGGGGACGCACGTGGTCTCTGAACATGAGGAGTGGACGCACGTGGTCTCTGAACATGAGGAGGGGACGCACGTGGTCTCTGAACATGAGGAGTGGACGCACGTGGTCTCTGAACATGAGGAGTGGACGCACGTGGTCTCTGAACATGAGGAGGGGACGCACATGGTCTCTGAACATGAGGGGACGCACATGGTCTCTGAACATGAGGAGGGGACGCACATGGTCTCTGAACATGAGGAGGGGACGCACATGGTCTCTGAACATGAGGAGGGGACGCACATGGTCTCTGAACATGAGGAGGGGACGCACGTGGTCTCTGAACATGAGGAGGGGACGCACATGGTCTCTGAACATGAGGAGGGGACGCACATGGTCTCTGAACATGAGGAGGGGACGCACGTGGTCTCTGAACATGAGGAGGGGACGCACGTGGTCTCTGAACATGAGGAGGGGACGCACGTGGTCTCTGAACATGAGGAGGGGACGCACGTGGTCTCTGAACATGAGGAGTGGACGCACATGGTCTCTGAACATGAGGAGTGGACGCACGTGGTCTCTGAACATGAGGAGTGGACGCACGTGGTCTCTGAACATGAGGAGGGGACGCACGTGGTCTCTGAACATGAGGAGGGGACGCAAATGGACATATAAACAAAATTAACAAATGCTTGTACACCAGCTGATTGACAGTTGAGAGGCGGGACCAAGGAGCCGAAGCTCAGCCTCCGGAAGCACAACTTGTTGAGTACATTTAGGTAAGTACATCTAGCTATGTTAATATTACTTGCGTATAAGGCCTAACTAGGGTGGGAAGGGGAGTTACCCGGCTGCGCTCGGGTCTCTCTCCTCCTCACCCAACTCCTCCTCACTCATCTCTCATTCCCTATTACCCAAAATCACCTCACTTTCCATTTTCTTAGTTCTCTTTCATCACCTTCCTTACCAGAACTGTATGTTTAACAGATCTCTTAACCCTGCTCATGGAGGACAGTAGAATATGTACATATATATACGGTGGTTAGCACTGTAAATGTGTGGCTACGTCTGTGGTAGAGGAAAGGATAAGAAGAAACCTACCCTACCAGTCACCACCTTCCTTAATCTTCACTATCTTTTCCTACTCTTCACCACCATCCCTACCATTAACAACTTACGCTATTGTTCACCAACCTCCCTAAATTTTACCACCTCTCCACCACCTTCCTTTCACACCTTATATATCCATTTTCATTAAATACTTCCCTCGCTAAGTTTCCTCTTTCATACTAAATGTTCCTCTCACCTCTTTCCCACTTCCCCTCTCTCAGCTCCCCCTCCCTCCCCCTTCCCACTTCCCAGTGCTACACTCACCACCTTCCATCCTAGCTAACCCTTATTATGCTAGATGAATCTCTGTGAATATGGAATTTATGAATTTTTTATGAATTTCCAATGAAAACTGGAAATTAATGGAATTTCCCATTTAATGCAAATAAGGACATGGGGCTCAATCTCGACCACCCTATGAACGCCCCGAAACCTAGCACAGTCACCCTGCAAAGTTTCGTGAAGCTATTCCCAAGCGTCTGGCTGCCTCCTTTGGACAGGCAGACAGACAGACAGACAGACAGACAGGCAGGCAGGCAGACAGACAGACAGACAGGCAGACAGACAGGCAGGCAGACAGACAGACAGACAGACACAGTCATCCTCTCTTTTAGATATAGATATCCAGACACACGAATATTTTTTCGCTCTCACATGTGACCTGTTGGGTAAGCATGCCTTCTGATATGCAATATGATACTCATATATATACTCGCATTAATTATTGTTATTAGCACACAAAGAACAGATGAAACATGTCCTTTACGTAAACTTGTGGCCGAAGATACGCGCGCGAACACGCGAAGACAAATAGATTGGTTAGAAAGGCGGGGTCCAAGATCAAATACCTCGATTCTGCAGACACAAATAGTAAATACAAATAAAAAATACACGCATATACGCACGGAAACATACACGTGTGTACTCATTTACGCACACACACATACACCGTTGGTCATATGGCACACACGCTAGGGGGCACACTCACTAGGGGACACACGCACTAGGGGACACACGCACTAGGGGGCACCCACAGTAGGGAACACACGCACTACGGGACACACGCACTAGGGGATACAGGTTGAAATTGAGTGCCCAAATGAGCCACAGAAGTATTAGAAAGAACTTTTTTAGTGTCAGAGTGGTTGACAAATGGAATGCATTAGGAAGTGATGTGGTGGAGGCTGACTCCATACACAGTTTATACACAGTTTCAAGTGTAGATATGATAGAGCCCAGTAGGCTCGGGAATCTGTACACCAGTTGATTGACAGTTGAGAGGCGGGACCAAAGAGCCAAAGATCAACCCCCGCAAGCACAAATAGGTGAGTACAAG